AAAATCTCCATAAAATTGATTACCCAGACAAATGTATATTAGGCATTTAGGAAAAATGAAAAGATGAATTCTGGTGACTCTTCATTGTAACTTCAGGAAATAAACTTGGTTTTATTTTGTTTGTTTTGTTTTGATTTTTGAGACAGGGTCTCTCTAGCCCTCCCTCTCCTGGAACTTCTCATGTAGACCAGGCTGGCCTCATAGAGAACCACTTCCCATGCTGGGAGTAAAGACATGCATTACTACATCCAGCCTAAATAGAGTCTTCCCTCCCCTCCCCTTGATACAGGATGTCGCTAATATTTAACTTTGGTTTTACTGGAACTCACTTTGTAGACTCACTTTGTAGGTGAATCACAAAGATTCACCTGTCTTTTCTTCTGCAGGGATTAAGGGTATGTATCATCATACCTGGCCTTCTAAAGAGAGTCCAGATAGGAGCCAAAATCTATTACAAAGATGAAAGAAAGGGCCTTTGAGTCAATCCTTAACACCATCCTGCCTCTGGCTACCTGTGTGCTGGGATTACAGGCAGGTTGCTGTGAGTTCAAGGCCAGCCTGGTCTAGGAGTTCAAGACAGCCAAGGCTATACAGAGAAACCCTGTCTCAAAAAACCAAACAAACAAAAAACACCATCCTTTTGTTTTTAAATAAAATTTCAAATGTTCAATTTTACCAATAAAGACCCAGGAGCCAGATGATGGGTTGAAAGCCTTCTAGCTCAGAGATGCAGAGAAAGCACTCAGCTGACCTTCCTGCTCAGCCGATGTCCCTGAAGGAAATGCTCTTTCTCCTTTCCACACTGTCTTAAAGACCCTCAACTCAATGTCCTACCTTTCTGGTTACTCCCTGTCAACTGGTTGCTTGCTCCACTTCTTGACCTGTGGTTGGTTGTATTTGGCTCTTGCTTACAGAAAGCTCTTGGGTTAAAAATAGGTGTATGCTAGGGCTGAGCCACACCACAACTAGAAACAGGTTTTTCTGGTACACAATCTCTGGGTTAACAATCAAATGTCCTGCAACAGTATCCTGCCTGGAAACAGGGTGAAAATCATCTTGACAGGAAGTAGAGGCAGAAGTATCCCTGTAAGTGGGAGGCTAGCCTGGTCTACACAGGTAGCTCCAGGATAGCGAGGACTATATAGAGAGCCTGTCTCAAAACACCAAATCAAAGGCTTTTGAGTTTTTGTGTATTTATCAGAATTCCAAAAATATACCCTGGTCACATTGTTCTTCTTCATCTAGTTTTGAGGGGTGTGTTGGTTTGCTTTTTACCATACCAGTGCTTGTGAAATACAACTTTGAATCCTTATGTATGGGAAATAGTTCTAAAGGAGAGGCCTATTGGTACATAATAGCTTATTCTGTGTAGGGCATTTCAGTGTAATGCTAACATTTTCTAAAGACCATTTTGTTGTTGTCATTACTGTTTTGTTTTGGTAACTGCAGATATTGCTGGTGGTTTTTACTCCTGTTATGCTGGCACAGACAAATTCGGGTATTGGGAGTTAAGGGTTATGGCTGCTAAACTACTACTTCTACTACTTCCTCCTCCTCCTCCTCCTCCTCCTCCTCCTCCTCCTCCTCCTCCTCCTCTTCTTCTTCTTCTTCTCCTTCCTTCTTCTTCTCCTTCTTCTCCTTCTTCCTTCTTCTTCTCCTTCTTCCTTCTTCTTCTC